GGAAGCCACAGAGTGTTTCTGACATGCTGCATTTATCACAGCTCAGTRCTGAGCAGGTGCAGGCTGTAAGCCAGCAGTAAGAACAGCAGTAGATGTAAAATGCTGTGGGATAAGTACAGAGGCAGGGACCACTCCAAGGAATATTCCATGCAAACAAGGCTCATTTGCTCCATGAAATGATAGAAATCAGATCCAGGGCTGCCATATTTGATATCTCATTGCTAGAAATACAAAGTAATGCCCATTTCTCGCACTACAGGGTAAAACATATGTCAGGTGCTAAAAGATTGCCTATTTTAATATATATTGACAGTTTTGAAGAAATTATCCAAACACCCAGGAGAAATGTGTTTCTATGATAAGTCTGATCTGAAGTGCATTGTACCCAGCACCCATCTTCCACGTACAAAGAGGTGCAAGATCAGAGGGACTGGATTTGCTTTATGACCTTAGCCAGACCCAGCACTTGTGTGGGTTGTGGAGGATCACTTTCTAAGATTGCACCTAAGATAATTTCAAATCTGTTTTTATTGTACATTCTGACCAAGGCTCATTGAGTATTAGGGAGGTCTTGTTGATTGGTGTGTAAGTCCGGAAAACACAGGCATTTAATGATTATATATATGAAGAACAGGAAGGGGCAAAATGGACAAAGGCTTCCTTGGAGAGAATTTATTCTGCAATAAAATGACAAGCTGCATTTCATACATTTCAGTATCAATCTTCTTTCTACTGTTATCCTAGCAACCTATATGATATCTTGGGGGAAACAAAACTTCTAATTAAAAGTTTCACGTGACAGAGCATACATACTAAAACACAATCACACAGGCTCAAGAAAGGCATGCAAAGCAGAGTGATCACATCACTTTCTCCAAAGTAAGCCCAAGTGCCACAGYTGCTGAGCAGAAGGACAATATTGCAGGCCAGGAATCATACAGAAAGTAACTGCTAAGGCTCAGGAGGAAATTCCCCTCCTGTCTGTGGTGACTGGGTAACTCCTYCTAAGGAGTTACATTATGGGGAAGCTCTCCGAGGATGTGGCAGGTCCTTCTCATAAAGCCTTCCAAAAAGTGTCACTGTTATGAGTGGTTTTGAAGTGCCATGCTTGCTTTTCAAACACCCATCAGGTAGCACCTGTGGAAAAAAAAAGAATGACACTAATAATTCACCAAGAGCATAGCAATATTGCATAATACAGAAAGAATAGACCTTAGATGCTGAATATTTTGATGCAACACTTTTAAAAGCAATCATGAGAATGAAAGAAACCAGAATTCTCTCTGACTCTGCCATAACCTCTCCACTGTAGACTTCCCACATTTCCTTGGACCCAGAAGTCTTTAAACCTTCCTCCATCTTCAGAAAAAAAAGGATAATTTTCTCACCTCATAAGAAGGTGACCACAGGAATAACTAATTTGTTTGTAGGTTCTCATTAGTTACTCATACAAGCCAATGAAGGTTATAGACAMATCTAGGAGATATTTGAAATAATTTTTTATTTGACCCCAAAACAATTTTCAGATGGAAGTAGAGAATTTCAAGCTACTGGCCATACATCACTTTTTGTAGTTACTTTTTACATATCAATTTGAAATCACTGTTGTTCATTGACTGTGAACATCTGTAAACATTTTTTTGCCTCTGTGACAAAAGATAAGCATATATTTGTTAAGAAAATACAACATGCTGTTTTAAAATTAGACCATGATCGTATTTTTAGCATACCAATAAATTCTTTGATATGTATATCTTTACAGAAGTCCCATTCAAAAGCAAGTATGCAGGGTGAACAACACTTTCTATTTCCTACCTTGCAAAATGATTCACCCCTTTTTCCCTTAGAAGTTTTCAGGTCTTTTTCATTGTCTTTATTWTTTCTTGTAAGTTATTAAATACTTACTCCAAATCAATTAGGATTTCACCTATTACATAAAAAATAATTTAAGGTTTATGAGTAAAAACATGTTTTGGCAAAAATAAAGGATGAAGATCCAAAGAAAAAAATAAACCCTACAAATCCCTCAAAAATCACTTTTAATGTTCTTAACTGCTTAGAATCTCTGCTCTTACTTCTAAGTAATTTTTCCTGTTTGGACAATCTCTCAGGGTATTTGATTTCTTTTTTCTAAAATGCTCMTCATCAGAAAGCTGTAGAAAATAGCTCCTTGAAAACTGTGGTTTATTGCTTTGTGACCTGATGTGGGATGGCAGATTGCTAGAGAAAGCACTGAAGAGATTTTCAGCTCCAGAACTGACACTTCTCATCAGTAAGGACTGATTCAAACTGCCCCCTTGAGTTACAGTTTGCAGAACCAAAGAAAGCAGCTCTTGGGTGGGACTTTGGTGCCAGATCATTTTTCAGTGCCAYAGCCTGGAAAATCTTGCAACAACCATCTCCAGGGYATCCCATTACCTCAAACTCCCCAGGGGCCAGCTGCACCCCACTGTACAGCACTTCTGGGAACACGTAGCTGGTGCCAAAYGTGCCRCTGAGGGAGAACATCTCAAACTTGGTCTGAGCCGTCTCCACGGGCTGCCCACAYGAGCTCAGGTTTGTGCTCAGGCACTTGAGCAGCGTGCAGACCTGGAGGAGGAGGAGACAGAAAGGCAAAACACCACTAAGCTTTCAGCAGCCAAGAGCTGGATGTGATAGMAAGAAAATTTCCCAGGATGCAGTAATGGACAAATGTTTTGGGGTGGTTGGGATGTGGCCATACTCACCCTTAACAAAGCAATTACCTGCCAATGGTATTTTATGACAGAACCGTGAAGCCCATCAAATGCACCCAGGACATARACTTCATCTTTCCTCTTGTTTGACATCTGGTAGACGAGGTGACAGCAAAGGTCTCCTTGGCAAACAGTGTAATTTCCAGCCTTGTGCCTCAGTTCACTGAAAGTGAATATATCCTTCCGGACAGCTCCCGAGAAAGTGCCATTTTCTCCTGGAAATTTGTTGATGCTTGTGGCATACAAACTCCAGTCGATGGCAGGAGGGTAGGTGGGGGAAAGACGGGGGTGTGATCTCAACTCTGCCAGCAGCAGACGTCCCTCCTCAGTGCCACTGTCGTAGTGGTAGGCAGCAGGTCCCTCTGGTGTGAACAGCCCACTGCCTGTTGAGAACACCACCAGCCCTCCGTGAGCCCAGAGCATGCCTTGGCAGCAACCCCCAGCTCACAGTGGTATTGTTTTTTTCAGTGATATTGGTTTCATTCAATATGTTACTGAGAATTTTGGAGGAATTTTAAACCATAGAACTGGTAAAATACCCATCCTAGTGTTAAAACTTAGGTTCATTTAAAAATAAATCAGAGCCCTCAGAGGAGCATATTTGACAAAGAAGGAAATCATGGGGGTAGTTATGTTTCACCGAAGGAAACACAGGGCTGTGGCCTAAACTCAGCTCAGTAGATTTAGGGTAGATAAAATGTTCCTTGGTGGTTTTCACTTTGCCTTCACGGGAGAGTAACATATGCAGTTATGACATTTTCCCAGTTAAGAGAAAAAAAAAAAGGCAGCAAATGTCTATTCAGAGCAAAGAAAAACATAATAATCTCTAATTCTTCATCAGCCACAAAAAGGAAGAGAATGTTTTATTTGGTTTACAASAGGAATCCTCCTTTTGGTTTTACATGATTAGGTTCTGATTAAAACATTTTTTTGTATTTAACTGCTGATTGAATTTTAAACAGAAAATACYTCCTCTAAAGGAGAGACTGAAAATTTAAGTGGAAATTTGTGCTGTTTTTGAGATAAAATTTCACTTTTAAGTTATCAAAATTTAATGTCATGGGCTTTCTAATTTTACCTTTTTTGGAACATTCAACATACTCTTATCTGAACCTGTTAGTTACATTCAGCACCACATCACAAAGATCTTTAGTCCAATTGAAACACTATTTTCCAGAGACTTCACTATGTCTAAAAGATTTCTGCCTGCTTCTGAATCTGAGAACAACTTCCCTGTTCCTGAATGCAACTCACCTGTCATTGCCATGSTGGTGTTGTGAGTATTTGCTGAAAGTAAATTAACACCCATGCCCATAGCCCAGGCAGAGTGAAACTCAACTGCAGTCAGAAAGGGCAGRACATTCATCCAAGCTGTTGGGAAGAGCACGGTGTCCACCTGCATCTTGCTCACCAGGACCACRGCAGGSTCATAGAAAAGGATGTCGAAGCAAGTGAAAATGCCAAACTTCCCAAAAGGAGTCTCAAAGGTGACGACTTCTGCCTCTTTTGGATAATTAAACTGAGTTTCACTTCTAAACAGATTGTACTGCAGGTGAAGAAGATGCCTTGTTAGAAACTGAAGATAAGGCAAGATTRTGGATATCTTTTGCTTCTGAGACAGGCTTTAAAGGAAAACTGGGAGCTGGGGTACCTGAGGTGGCTGGCACAGCTGGYTTGCATCTATCTACTGACCATCTGCCCCAATAATGGGGTGCCTGTACCCCATCTACCTCCGGGAAGCAATACCCAACCAATATTAGCTGCTAAACTCCAAGACCAAAGGCCAAGATGTCCCTGCAAAACCACTAACTAGGCTAAAAATGTATCAAGGAAAAGCTGACATTCACTGAGTATGGAAAACTCTGTCACTGCTTCTTTACCATTTACTGTCATAAATGCAGCCCTCATGTGTTTGGCAGCTGGCATGCACTCTGCAGCTTTGGTGCTTCTGGGAATAATTGGTCTGATTGGTTAAAAAATTGCTTGGTTTTCCTTCTGGTCACAAGAKCCTTGCATCAAGTCATCCTGGATCRGTTGTCACTTTATAATAGTGTAAAATTGTTGTATAAACCATCTGAAATTAGTGCCAGAGAACTGAAATATATATTGATAATAAATTAGAGGTTGGTGTTGAAGCACCTCCCTACCTTGTGGTAACGAGCCACCAGTTTCCCCTCTGGGTCAAAGACGACATCCGTATTGTACTGGTAGCGACCGTCACTGGGGCACTCGGGGTCACTGGAGTTACACGGCTTCTTGTCCCCGATATTTGCAACCACATAGATGGAGTTATTTCTGGCCATGCAGCTGAGTCGYTCCTGMACTGGTGCTGGACCAAATCTAATGTATTTTWRGKRARRMRARRAWAAAMYTWWSRAARYYTRWGYKSWCA